ACTGGAAGACTGTTTCCCAGTTGTATTTCAAAAGTTTCTCAAGACATTCCTTCTCCTGTCCAGGATGTGTGTGATGGTATTTACTTGACATACTCACTGAAAACGTTCATTGCTTTTGAACAAGCTGCTTTAAAATAAAATACTGATCTCAGTTACAAATATTCTTTAAATACCAGCCTTTCTGATTTCTACAAGACTTTATATATAAAGAGGATTAGGATACTCATGTAAAAAAAAACCCTATTATCTAGAAAATTTCATCTTGCTCCCTTGCACTGGCTCAAACTAACACAAAGGAAACAGGCATAATATAGTGAAATAAAATTTGCCTTTTGTTCTCATTGTGGAATACATAAAAAAGCAAGTTGTAACCATCCCATCAGTGCACACTGCATCTGAACTGTGCCTCTGACCCACATTTGTCTACAAATATTGTTGTGAACAGATACCATGGGAAATTGCCAGGAGAGAACAAAGACCACACTAAAACCATACAAATGGCAAATTTAAAATGTTCAGATCAGTGGAATACCAAGACCAACTTTGAATATTTCCCTTCCAGAATAGCTGAAATTTGCCATGGAATTTCTGTGTCACAACAAAATATTTAGAAGAAGCAATACAGAAATTACTCAAAACCAAATCGTACCAGGTTCATAGAGGATGGGTAAATGTTTTATTACACATAGTACTAGTGACAAGAAAAGAAAAAGGCACATGAGTTCAGTATGAATAACTAGGAACAGTCCACAGCAAAACCTATCCATGCAGATGTCATCTTTTCAACTATGATATGACACAGCTAAACACTGGAGAGGGAGACGGATCACACTCTAAAGGGCTAAAAGTAGGCGGTGCAGACTGGGTTTGAGAAAGTACTCTAAATATAAAGCAGTGCCCACCAATTCTCATGTATCATGGTACTGTCATTCTTGAAGAAAAAAAATCTAGTGAAAAGTACAGAATATGATCGTAAAAAGTAATGTCATATTTTTGTTTAATTTTTCTATTCTCACTTTTCTTAGAGTTGGCAGTTACATCAAGGACTGAGAAATGGTGGAAGTGCACACCCAGGCTGCACTGCCCCAGTGATATCAGTGACTAGAGCTGGGGAGATAAGGAGGTGCACATCCAAGCTACCTTACCCGTTGGCACCAGATGTTCCAAATTAACTCCATGTCACCAGGGGATAAAGGTGGGAGTGAGGCTGGTGCACAGCCAAATAGGGTAGGACTTTTACAGCTGTGCAAGTCTCACTGCCCAGTGGGTAACATACAACTGTTCATATATTCTTGAAAAAGCAGGAAGGGAAAGCTGTAAGGACCTTGTGCCGCAAGGGAGGGAGAGAAGGGAAACTGTAAAGACCTGCATCATAATTGAGAACAGGAAGAGAGGGGACAGGAGAGCACCTAGGCGAGGTACCGTCTCCCCACTTCACAGTAAGTTGCCTTGTCTAAGTAAAGTACTCCTTCACAGTCTTTCCAATGGGAAAAAATTCTCCTGAGAGGACTGAGTTAGGAAGAGTAAAAAAGAGTGGATTTGGATTTACACTCAAGAGAAGTCAAAGCACTACTGCTGCAGAATACAAAGAAAAAGGAAGAAAGAGGGGGAGGAAAAAAAAAAAAACAAACAAAAACCAAGAAGACCCAAGCCTCAAATTAAGAGATTAGCAGAAGCACTTTTCTTCTAACATTAAAAGTTATTCCTGATGCTGTTGAACTAAGTGGATGAAGGGAGTAAATTATTAAGCACCATCCTGCAGCCTTTGGTCCTGTGAATGAAAATATGGCGCTAATATAGAATGAGTTTAGGGGACATCACTTTACCTGCTGGAGAATGAAGGTTTTCATAGCAGCGGCGGTGAAGGGGCCACAAGAAAGTAAAGCACAAGTACACAGCAGTAACTCAAATTCCAGAGGGAAGAGCCTTACATTTCCTCACTTACTTAAATCTCCACTTCCATTTGTGGGCAGCAATTCCTGAACTTCCACTGGCATCCTGTTCTGAAATCACAATTCCAACTTTCATGCTGCCATCTAAACCCAGCGTTAATACAAACAGACCTCTCATTTCCTCCTGTGGTATCACTAAACTTGGAGCACTCGTGCTTGGCAAAATCAAATAAACAAAGCTTACACTGAAGTATTTGCCATCAGACTGGAGTATTTTAACCAGGCTGACCACTCCCTGCCTTTCTAAAAGGAGACAGTACTTCAGTATATTCTTACTATAATGACTCTGATTGAAAGGTTCGCAATGTTTAACACATCTAAATAACTTCATTCTTAAGAAGTCCACACAAATTTCTGCTGAATGCTGTTAGTTTACTATTAACAAATTAACATGCTAATTTCTCTTGAACAGGACAGATCGGCATCTCCTCTCATCTTTATAACAATTTGAAAAGCAGCTCTGAGGTAGTCTTTCGTCTCTGCACAAGAAGAAAGTTAAGCTCCCCTGCAATATCTTCCTTGCTTCATTCTTTCTCTTTATTAGCTGGATGGGCAAATTTTAAGTCTCATTTTTCTCATTTAAATTGGTTCTTGTCTGTGACCTCTCTTTTAGGAGGACAGTATTTTTAATTCAATTCATTTAATTTCTCAGTTTTTGCTTGTAGTGTCCAACTCCCAGTTTATTTTTAATTACTTCTTAAAATTACCCTTTATAAGTTCCATATCACAATTCTAACTTTTGCAATAGGCCTTTGATTACAAAATTCTGCAAAAGAAGTTCTTTTTATTACAGCTATTACAGTCATTATTTAGGGGCTAAACACTGTATTAGAGAGTCATCAATAGAAGTTGACTAGAAATAACTAAGTCAAACACTGTCTTTCTTCTTGTGCAATATAAACAAACTATTAAAAGAAATACTTTGAATTAAAACTTCTCAAAAATTATCAAAAAAATCATTTCTGATCCAAGTAATTTCTTTTAAGTTAAAGTTAATTTCAGAAGCTGAAGCCATTCTTTAACCTAATTTTATGGCTTCTGAACTCTCATCTTTGTAAAACTCACCAATAATCTTTTACAGCCTTAACAATTTCTGTAAGTAACAAATCATGCCCATCAGGGTGAAAACATGGTATCAAACGAATATGCAACCATAAAGTGCAGACAACTTCTGAACATCTAAACTATGCAAAATTTTTCAGGGGCTACGTACACTCATCTGATCATTTGAACCTTGAACATCATTTTCAGAAAATGGGAAAAAGCTGTTCACAAATTCAAATCCCAGACTTCTGGGAGATTAATTTACAGCAAACAACGAGCAAACTGCAATTGTCAGATAGGCCTTCTCGTTTGAATACCTTATAACTTTTTATCATCAAAAGGAGACAATACATTATTATGGACAAAGACATTAATTTCATCAATCTTGTCTTAACTGTCTTTTATGTTCTAAGAGAGAATCCCTCAGCCAGCACATTCTATTTACAGCACCAAAAACCAAGAGTCTTGGTAAAGAGAACTGCTGATTTAATTTTGATTAACAGCCTAAACATGGATGCTGATCTGCTATGGAAAGACTGTTGTAAATTTTATTTTCTTTTTAAATGTTTCATATATTAAGACCTAGACAAACATCTCACAGATGGGTGAAAGAATAAACCAATATGGGTTTAGGGACTATTTCAAGAGAAGTATATGGATCACTCTTATGGAGAGCTGCATCTGAAAGCACTAAATTTTTTCAGGCACTAGTGTGATAGTTTAAAAATATAATGTGATTGACACTAACACTGAATAGTAAAGCAGAATTTTCCCCAGACTAGACTATAGGCAGATTACATGTAATAGCACTAGCTGACCAAAATACCACAAATTCTCTACCCTCCTTAACCTTTACTCTTCCACTCTTTACCAGTCATGCTCTGAAACAAAATCCACAGGATAAAGTACAAACTAACAAAACATATTCTGCTCCGTACAATAAAAATGAAATTCCACATAGAGCCAAGAAGAAACTTTGCAATTATCAGCAATTCTTTGTAATGAAAGCATAATGTGTTGAGAAAGAGCAACTAGAAGTCCTGCTTAAAAATGTGGTTTCTCAGATGAAAAAGGAACATACCAAAGAAAATTCCTACACACATCCAAGTTTAACTCTTGTTTTGTTTTCCTCGGAAGACTCAGAACATCATCTTTGTCTATTAACAAAAAACACCTAGGTCACAAATCTTAATATGATGAAAATTAATGTGTAAATTTTTATGTTAAGTCACCCATCTCTCAGGTAACTTCTGATGAGCAATCTACATTTCTCTCCCATCTTTGAAACTGCAGTGCAACTCTGAATCTGAAGACTGGAAATTTGAGTTACTGCCATGTGAGTACAGACCTAATATCAAAATAATGTAATTACCAAATTCCTCCAGGACAAAGACTCCTCGCACAGTATTGCACTTTTTAATGTGATTCAGCTCTATGAAAACCTACAAAAAGAGGAGGAAAAGTAACATAAAATTAGTCAGGTTTGGTTTTTTTAAAACTAAAAACCAAAATTAAACAAAAAACATCATCACAGCAGATACAACCTGAAGTGTTGTAGCAAACACTACCAGTTCATTTACAGTTTAATATATAAATAAAGGGTGAAATAAATATTCAAAAGACAAACTTGCCACAATGCTAGAAATCAACAAATAACTTAAAAGCGCTAAGAAGCGAAGACAGCAGAAGATGAAGTACCTTCCGCTCCTTGCAGGAGGAGAAAGCATGGAAGAGAAACGAAGGAGTTAGTAACTCTGACATATCCAACATTGCTACCCCTTCAGGCACTCAAATGAGTTATTGCAAAAAGAAAACCAACACACCTGAAATACAACAGAAGAGGGGGACGAGAAAAAAAGCTGGCTCCCAAATTTGGCATGATTTGTAGCCTCTGATCCATCCCAGTTAGTTTCTGCCCCTCCATGCATCCTCCTCCAGCACAGAGGGCAGGTAAGGGGCACTATACTTCCCACCCTGACACTGATCCTCCTAACCTCTCCAGTACTCAAATTTAATCCAATGAGGAACCACTAATCTTCCTTCTCCCTGACAGCCTTGCCATTGAAGATTTCACTACCATTTGTGATATATATATAATCTGCATACTTACTCTTGGAACTGTCTCCTTTAATAGTCAGTACCAGGTTTTTTTGCTTTAAGCAGGACGGGAGAGTTTGGCCCCTTCTCTACTGTTTGCTCACTTCATATATGGCTACTGCCAGCTGAGCAGTCACTTAGAAAACAAACCTGCTTTAAACATACATTTTACATATATGAACCCCAAAAGACAAAACAGTTGAACTACATAACTAGGTTTTTCAGTCCAGAACCTAGGTGCCAAGATTGCATGAATACACAAGTTCTCTGAGCATAACGAGTTAGTTTGTTCAAAATCCAATCTGTTTCAAGACACAAAACAGTCCCTTCTTATATGCCCATCTCCAAAAGGGTCAGAACCAGTGCACAGATATAAGAAGCTGTAGAAAGTGCTATAAGGAATCAATTCCATATTGCAGTTTCTAATATACTTGCTTTTTCAAGGCAAGAGAAACATTAAGAGTAACATTGCCCTACCATTCAAAGTAAGTCTATGTCCAATACCTTAGAGAGACCCTTGCAAGACTGCATTACAATAGTCTGAATTGATACTTTTGCTGCCTATACACTGATGACACCATGATCTTGGGACCTTTTTAAAAAAATGTTACTAGAGAAACTTCCTTGTCTTGGCAGGAAGGGAAAGGAAAACTCTGCAGCCCTCCTGAATCCAGTATTAGCAACATCCATGTAATCATAGATGATATGCTACCCAAGAAAGGCAAAGGAAGTCAAAACCAGAAATTGTTGTGGTTTTTTAAGAAACAGGTTTATCTGTATCAGTGGAGATCAGTAAATGCACCGTACATCTGAGGGAAGTCAAAGGGGGTTTATTATTACTTTTATTAGTTGAGAACTAGCAATATTTTTTGCTGAGTATAAATAACTAAACTTCCACTTACTTCAATCAGAAAATCTGAAGCTTGCTTTCTGCTTACTTTCAAGCACTCAAGATAAAGGAGACATTTTAATCCCATCTTTTTTGTTTGCCTGGTTTTGCCCATGTTCTGTATCAGTGTAGTTGGTCAAAACCATTTTATTTTTTGAGGAATAGTTGCAGAATAACCAAGCCAATAACAGAACACTTCCTTTGTTGTACTTACTTTCCTTTCTCTGTAATATTTTCTGTGAAATGTTTTTGCTAGTAGTCTGAAGTGAAAAATTCAGAATCTCAACAGAAAGGCTCGGGTGAAACATTGCTTGTTTTATCTGGTAACACTAAAGCTGCCTAAAAGACATGACAGCCCCAGGTGCTCATGATCTGAGTATAATGTTAAGGAGTGCTGCATTTCCACAAGAGTCATGAGTGAGATGAGAATTTATCAAGTTTGTCACAATTACAGTAAGTTACCCATTTTCAGAAGACATACGAGTTGATGGGCAATTTCTTGCTATATTGTTTAAGGGACAGAGATGTTCTCCTCTCACTCAATCAGAAAACAAGCGTAAAGGAAATAACAGTTACTTACCCTAGGGAAACCGTGTTTCTTCAAGACAGAGCATTCAGTGTGGATCCTACTGTAGATGGGCATGTGCCTCCTGCATTTTATTAAACTTCCATCTCTTTTTGACACAGATGAATTAGTAACAGGGACAGAGTTACTGAGCCCCAATATTATAACATAATTGGTAGATATAAACTCAGAATAATCTGCCAATGCCACAGGTACACTTGATTCCTCCCTATTCCAAAGGACTTCCTCTGACCTGCTAGGCACAGAGACACTTGAGGTATTTTTCTTTTTAAACCTATGTGCCCTGCTGCTGTGGAATATGTGAACACTGTCGATAACAGGTTGGCCCACCAGGCATCTAAGACATTTCCTGATGAATTCACAAGGCGGTAAAAAAGAATACACACTGCAAATCCAGAGCCTTCAAAAAGAGTTTCACGAAAGCAAGCACCATTCTAACACTGAAGCAGTATGTTCAGTCTTCTCAGGTAGGACAGAATAGGTTTTGGGGTGGTTTTGTTTATTTGTTTGTTTTTTTAAAGCAGAAACCTCTCTTCCTATGTTCTAAATAAATTATTTATATGACGTCCAACCAAGCAGAGCAAGAGAAATCCCTTATTTTTGTAAGTTGCACTGCTGAAAAGAGTACTTGGAAAGACGGCCAAGAACAGGGCCTGTATATGGAGTAAGGAGAGGAAGACAAGAGAAAGCTGTGCCTGATGAGGCCCTATAGGCATTTTTTGGTCAGTATCCCCATCCAAACTCAATAGAAATGGAAGAAGAAATTTTCAACTCAGAGAAATGGCTGTAGGATCCTGGTTTTAATCACGCTTCTATACATATTCTGAAATCAACTGCCTTAGGAAGCAATTCATATAATTTCTGTGAGAATTTAAAGGACAATTTACCTAGAAGAGCAGACTTACTAAGAAAGCGAGCAGACTGGTTGATGAGTGTTAGAATAAGAATGCAAATGTCCTTTAGCTCCACAGAATATGAAATTGGAGGGGATTTTTTTTTTTTTTGTATGGTGCAACTAGTAGGAATCCTTTACCTACCTGCTACAGTTGTCCATTCTACACAGACCCTCAAATGGCAGACTTTTGATATCTGTCTAGATACTTTGTTTTGAGAAGGAAAATAAGGATATGTCTTAGGTCCACTAAATGGTACTGAATGCCCTTGACAGGTGGCAATGTAAATCTAACAGACCAAGAATTAAACATATTGAATAAATGAAGAGTATTTTCCAGAACCGTACTTATTTCAATATCCATCTTAAGTAATGGAAACTCATCTGGCTACAGCCTTATCAGAAAGGTGATGAAGAGGAAGAATAATCTTTCAGGCAGGGGAGACAGCTGGTATACTTCTTGGGTCTGACCTGCACAGACTGTCTTCCAGAAAAGATGTAGCAATTTTCATCACAGACAGCAACTGAGAATACCATTCTCCAAGGAATGATATGATCAAGCTAGTATTCTAGGAGTGCTGGTGGTAGCACAGGATCTGTGGTACAAAATTCAACTGGTAATGGTCCAGACAGTTGTATAATAACAATCAGTACTAGGTTTCCCTAAGGTTTCTTTCAGAACGTCATTCCAGTGTATCGGGGGGGAAGGGAGGGGGAAAGGCTTTGAATTTAAGGACAAAGGTATATTCTAGGATTTGGAGTTGTTCTTTTGGACAGATGCACATGTGCTCACTCTGTACTTAACACTGAATGTCTTTGTCTTCTGAATATGCCTGTTACACTTAAGAAACCATGATGATGATGATGTGGCTACCTTCTTATATATCTTTTCTAACTGCAAATGCACGTATGCCTGGCAGTTCATTTATGAAATAGTCATCTCCATAGACTGTTCAATATGAGCTGTTTGAGCTCAACACAGTTTTGACTTCAGAAGAAGAAGAAAAAGGAGAAGCAAAGACAACATTCCCTCTGGTATGCCCTTACCTTACAACAGAGTAGTTTCTTTTATGTCCATCTATAATGATATCAAACTGTTTCCAGAGTTTTTCCAGAATTTTCCAGTTTTTCCAGAATTTTCCAGAATTTTCAAAGGCTTTAGACCTGCCATTTCCACTAACTACAAAAATTCATTCTGTACTACTGATGAGTTCCTTTTGCAGTTCTTTGTATTTCAGCATATCCAAAAAAAAGTTAAAATCTATAACTAAGTCAGGTAGGTGGCTCCATCACAGAGTAGGTTTGAAATACTGCAGTAGGGCAGTGTAGTCCAGGTTCTACCCTGGTAATAGACAGGAAGAACACTGAGGGAGGTTCACAACTCGCCACTCCTTATACTGACACATGTGAACTCAAAGAGGCACATGGTGCTGCTGTGACCTTGGGAGAAGTATTAAAGATTCTGAGCATGTGTGTTTGAGATGCACGTGCACTTCCAGTGGGATCTACACTGATGTATCCTCAAGGAAGAACAAAGCTTGTGTGGGAAGAAAAGTCTAGTCAGGAGGAAAGGAAAAAACACTCCACAGAGGACTGACAGAAGCTTTTCTTTCTCCCTCTCTCTCTCTCACACACACACATTCTCTCTCTCCCCTAAAAATTGATTCTACTGTCTAGCATAGCATGCATTTAATATCATATGCAAAACAAAAAAACACAAAGCAAAGTAAAAAACAAGGATCAAAGGAAGCAACAAAAACAACATCCAGAAAAAGGAAGAAATGACAATTCTGGTTGTGTTTCCTCTATGCCCATAAGATCTGCTACTTGGAAGGAAAAGAGACTCAGTAATTTAATCTTATTTTTGTGAATTACAGCAAGAGTCACTTTCCCATTTTATTTTCATACTAAATTCTACAGATGATTTCTCAAATTTTAAAACAAGACAGATTAAATATGATGCAGAAGGTTGCCCTCTGTATCTGCAATATTCGAACACTATATTTTAAGGCTGACTGCTTATGCTATCCAGATTATGTTCACAGTGTGATCCATTATGGCAGTTTAGATTACTGTTGATCACTTTTTCTGTCCCTTAATATACTGCCTACCATTTGTATTCTGCTTAAGACAATTCAGGCCACTAGAAACAAGAAGTTGAAACTTGTATCAGCATTTTTCTTCAGTTGATTATAGTTTTCCTGAGGATAATTAGTTTCAGTGTATTTTTACACGTGTGCTTCTGTGTAAATATACATATGCTTTTTTATCCCCATCATGCTATCCTTTGTCCTTGTTGATACTCTGGGAAGAGGAAACACAAATACAGGCGTGCTGCAAGAAGCTTCATGCTCACAGTCTTCTCACAGATCTCCCTCATACCTGACTGTGCATAAATTTCAGGTTAATTCCTTCCAGTGTGACCTGAAGAAGACCTCCTTCACCGGTTTTCATATCCTGCACAGGGAATTCACCACCCAGCTCTGGGCCTGTGATAAGGTAATTAAAAAGAAAAAAGAAAAAAAAAGGAAAAACAAACAAACAAAAATATCCAGAGAGAGAGAAAAAAAGAACAGAAAGCAGTCAGCCAAGTCATGATATGTAGAAGGGAAATATAAAACAATAAAAACATAATTTCCATTTGATGTGCACCGCAAGAGGACACTACTAACACTAGTAAGGAGCATTTCAGTAGAGTCCAGTGACTAATGCCAGCCTTCTGAGAACCACTAGACTTTTAAGTATCACAACAACTTTCATCCTGGTTACATGAAGGGACATGGATGTCAGCTCGGTCTGTATCCATTGTAGTTCATACTGCAGTTTTGTTTGTTTCCAATGCCAGATTTCATTCTGCACAGTAAGACTACAGTCACATAGTCTTAATTTCAAACACATAAGCAAGCCCAAACTAAGCTTGCATTTCTGAGACTGAGGATTTTGTATGGCATTGTTTTATGCTTTCAGCAATGAAAAAGTCAATATGGTTACAACAATGACAATTTAATAGAGGACATTAATAGATGACAACCTAGGGTTTCTCTTGCATCATTCAGTTCAGCTAGAAAATACTTTCTTATAGTGATTTTTTAAAAATTAGCATTTGCACAGAACCACTGACCTCTGAAGAATGGCTTTCAAACACATTTTTAATACTACATTATTGCCCAATTCTTAAAACAGTTTTCTAAGACACTTTTGCCTCCTCTACGCTCAGTGAAAGTCCAATCCTTCCTCCCTCTCTTCAAATTAAACTGGGCTAATGGTAGGAGGAAGAAAATGTGGCTTTTCCAAGCTCCAACAGCTAGCTGAGGGTTAAACATTTAGGATGCTAGATTTAAACACAAGTCATTTTCTCAGTCATGCTGATGTCAGTTATGAGTATATAATGTAGATCCCCTAGATTTGGCATTAAGATGCACCTGAAATACACTTGTACCTCAAGGCACGGCTCCCAGAGTCCTAGCATTTTTGAAAAAAATAAATAGTTGCAACAAAAATCAAACTTGAAAATACAAAAACCACAGTGATGTTACCCTGAACCTGCAGAAAGATTCTGGAAAGGGAGAAAAAAACATCTAAGAAGGTATAAAATAAGCCACCTTCATGTTTGCTACCCAAGTACATACAGCACCTGCTGCTCTATGGGGACTAAAAAAAAAAAAAAGGAAAATTGAAAACAATCTCCCAAAACTGCAAATCCACTTTTCCACTTTTCTAGTTTATTTTGACTCAAAAAGAAAAGGAAAGGGGTGCTTGCCAAGAAAAACTTCACCACTATAATTATACTATCCCGTCCCAGATGGTGATGCTGCAAAACAAAGAAGAATGTCTATACTGGAGAATTTACACTGATACAAGCATATTGGGTTAACTGCAACATTTGACTTGCACCAGTACGAGACTTTCCAATACAGAACAGGTTTGTGCATTGAAAGCCTGCAGAAAGCTGCAGATTCATCACTGTAGATCCACTAACACAAACAAGCATATTCATTAGCCTCCATTCCCAACACAAAGTGGACAACAGAGAACTATGTCAATCAGAAATATAAGGAGTAACTAGCCAACCATGAAGAGAAAGTAAAACTAAAGTTTCATAGTCTTTTCTAGTTATCATTTTACTGGCAGCTAGTCCTCCTTACATATAACTCCTGTTTATGCAGGTGTTTTGGTTTTGTTTGTATTCAGAGTGAGGTATATGGGGGCAAGCTAAGGATAACACTAAGTCTGCTACGTACACAGGGATGTACAAAGCTACCGTGAGACTTCCAAGTAAGATGGACACTGGCCCAGGTTGCCCAAGGAAGTTGTGGCTGCTCCTCCCTGGAAGTGTTTAAGGCCAGGCTGGATGAGGCTTTGAGCAACCTGGTCTAGTGGAAGGTGTCCCTGCTGATGGCAGGGAGGTTGGAACTGGATGATCTTTAAGGTCCCTTTCAACCCAAACCATTGTATGATTCTATGATTAATAACAAAAGTTGTTGATTGCAGATTAAACAACAGATGTTCCCAACAAGCAAAATCTTGTACCTGGTTTAATGCTTTGCTGTCTTGCTGCTGCTCGCTCCATACTGTCTTTTACACAGTAGTATAATTCCCGACACTAACATACAAAAGAAGAGTAATACAATGTTATTCTTCCAAATTACTAAGGGAAAAGAACAGCAAGATTCAAAGATTCTACAAAAAGAACAAGTCCCATGTGGTGCATAACAACAAAAAGCCTACAGAAGTTCAACCACAGCTGATTAATAGATGGTATTTATATTTATTTTGCAAGTTGACAGAGAAACTATTTCATACCATTTCACAGCACAAGCTAGTGAAGAGTTCATAGCTTGGCACCTCTCATGAGCAGTCTAACCAAGTTTACTCAGTTTCCTAGTGTAGAAAAAACCTCAAAACAGTATCACAATCTCTCAATTTTTTTCAGCTTCCAGCAATCAATATTACTGGTCATGCTCATATGATATATCTTTTTGTAAGTCATATCAATTTCCTTATGTCATATTCTTCTATTTGTCTTCCTCCAATCCCCCTCGCTAGTATCAAAGAGCAGTTAAGCCAGAATCTCAGAGTAAAATTTAAAAAATTTCCTATCTGAAGCCCAAGATACATGCAATTAATTTTCCAAGTGACTTCTGTAGCACACTGCTTTTGTCCTCCCTCCCTTTATATTCACACTTGCATTATGATGACCTGGTCTATGTAAAATGAATTTTTTGAAGCAGAAATCTAATCTCTTTATATCTCAAAGATAATAACTTTTCAATATATTACTTGCATTCACAAATTTTTACCTCTTGTTTGCTGGTCATTGTGTAGGAGTTACTGGAGTTCTGAGAGTTACTAGAGTTTTCCTAGCAGGTTTAAGCTATTTCTTTATCTTTGCAATTAATCATAAGGACAAGTAAAAGGATTTCATATTAGTGCAGAATGTAGGCATGTATGAAATTAAAAAACCAAACATGGGCCCATGGAGAAAAATTTTTATCTATTTTGTCAGTTTGGGTTTGCCATTAAAAATGAGACAATTAACTCAATTACTAAGTCATAGTTTTATTTAGCTTTTTCCCCGTGAATCTACCACAATATTTTTACTACCTTTATAAACTGGCAAGCTCACGCAATATTTAGTAATCCTGATGCTTTCCTTCTTCTAACTAAAAAAAACAAGTAAAACCTACACATGTAATTTCTTAAATTACATCCTGCTGTATTACTGTCTTCAGGTAAATTACAAGGCATAATGCCAGCTTCAGATGTCAGTGCTATTAACAGCCACTACAGCTCAGTAACTGGTGCTGGAGAGAGAATGCTATTTTTTTTAAATTAAATATGGAATATGACACGCCAATGATTCATTTGTTCTATGCAGTTTTCCCTCAGTTTTGTGTGTATTAAACAAGATGCACACCTTCTTTGTGTAGAACTTGTTCAGTTGTGTCTCCTGACCATTCCTCCGCCAGAGGCACAGCACTTTTGTTTTGGGACAGTAAGTCATATTGATGAGTTTCTCGTACCACCAACGTTCATACACAGTTCCAATGTTGCTTCTCAGCACAATGCAGTCGTCACATACCTGGGAGCACAAAATATTACATAAGATTTCTTGTATTATTTATTGGATGCTACTTGTTGCATTAGTATTATTGTCTTTACCTCCATGAAAAATATATCTCCTGTTGTGTCTGTCCCAGCATGTACTACAAAAGTCTGTTTCTTGATGTGGCGGGGGGCCCCCGCACTGGGTCTCACAGGGAGTTCCCGGCCATTCTAGAGGAAAAAAAAAATAATAAACTTTCATTAATAAACTTTGATTAAAGCAATTTCTCCTGATCTATTGAAAAAAGTCTACTAGGCGACACCAGAAGCATTGTCAACAAGTGAAAGAACAATGAAGTCTTTTAACACAACTGCTTAGAGGCAATTTTGGACAAAGCCTTAAGTAAGATGCTCCAAGTTAAGTTTCACCAAGTGTGACTGAGTTACCCCAGTACACAACAACATTCACACTGGTACCACACTCAGTATGGGCGAGTGAGGTGTGTGGGTCCCAGTAACATTGCAATAAACTGGTCTGCTTTTTCCCAATTAATTCCAAGATAATTTTGTGTCCTTTCAGTGCATAAAACTGAATTCCAGATGTAAAAATGCTTTGAAAAATTAGCTTTCAAAAGGCCTAACTTGCATCCATTCTGGTGACAGTTCTGTTAAAAGCTGGCTAGTTTGATTAACTGAAGTGTTCTTAACGTGCTCATTCTTAATGAGCATTACGGGATGTAAGGTTTATTCTGCACACCAGCTGACAGTGGAAACAGTTTTGTATGGAAACTGATCACTACAAGTCTTAAAATGACCTGGAAACTGATGGAAAACTAAACACTATCCTTAATAGTAAGAATAAAAGTTCCCACCCACCAAAGTGATATTAAGAAAACATTAAAGTTGCATAGAACTGTGGTACTGAAGTGTCATGTTTATAGATATTTGTATTGCAGTTCTAATTGATAACTGCATAATAGTATAATATCATAAACAGCCTCATATGATCACAATCTTTATTCTATATATGTGAAGGCAGTAGTTAATAATTCAATTTAATTATTTTTAGTATTTTTAAATCAGTGTTGCAGAGCATTTATAGAAGAATTTTCAGATTTTTTTTTTCCTCCACTGTAGCTCCCACAGATACATCACTCATCACTGGTTTACTTACCAGATTGGCAAGCTTGTCGAGAATATCATTTATTTGCTGGCTGTGCACCAATCCAATATGTGATTTTCCCATCAGACGACGCACCTTTTTCCTGATATCATTCTTGTTCACCTAGAAAGCAGATATAGAGAGTTAGTTATTCTTCTCTATTCCCAGGCAGCAACTCCTATCTCCCAAAGTCAATGTATCTTGGTTTCCATCATCAAGACAGCAAAACAACTGATCTCCAGCTGAGTCACACTACGGCCTCCTTATCCCAGCAGCACAAGCAGAAGTTGGCACATACACCACTTTTCCCAGGTACTGGGCAAGCAATACTGTGCCCAGCAGATTTCCTGACTACTCTTGCACAACAGAGCAGCAATTCCACTACCCTCCACTTTCAACTACTGACATCAGAGGCCTTAGTTCTCCATGTTGCCCCTTATATGATGAGTCTTAGCTGCCAGGCTATCTTCTCCACCTCTTCCTCTGCAAGGAGTTGATTTAGTCAACTGTGGAGCCCTAAACACAAGAAATATTAACACAAAGGCATGGTATCTTAAAAAAATCTTGCCCAGCCTGTTTCCTGATTACTAGACCAGGGCTCTAACAAACATTTCCAGGTAGTCCTCAAACAGCAGCAGGTTCCTCACAAAGATGAGCTGCAGGGAAGCTCAGAAGCAAAACATTCTGCCCCGTGTGCCATTTCAAAAGGATATAATGAATGCCAGCCATTGATACTAAATGCTTCAAGACAGTAAACTCCTGCTTGAGCACTGGCTTCAAGCTAGACTGGACATTCTTTTACCTTAATGCCATGGAGCACACAAAACAAACTCAACCTGCTTCCTTCCTTTGGCAAGAATTCTTTGCACTTGAAAAAAATCATTGTATTTTTCAAGAATTTTTTAGGTAAAAACTACAAGGCACTGCTATCCCAAAACAAAAAATTACATTAAAATACCGAGGTGTTGAATTTGGAGGATTATGCTTCCCTTGGTAGCTCAGAAGAATTCACCTCACTAGTAACAGAAGGCCTTCCAACTCTGCAGTTTCTACTAGAAGCTGCTCTAAGATGAGATACCTTGGTACAGTCTTCAGTCTCTTAAAGCCCTCACTCTAACCACTTGAAAAAAATCCTGTATGCAAATAATATATACCAAATTCTCGATCCACCACCTTTTAGCCCAAAACTGATAATCAGAGAGAAAAAAAATTAACGATGACAAAAAACCCCCAACAACCCACAACCCTTCTTTTGCTCAGTTCTTCATCCCATCCTCACTCTTGAACATCTCTGAAGATGCACTGAAAGAAACAATATTTTTATCACAACTCTCAGATCCCCTGTAGTCCCTGTTCATCTATAACCCATAGGCACAGAGTGATACAATTTCCAAGGGTGTAATATCCTCTTTGCCTCCTTATCCCTTTCTACCAGAAAACTGTTTCCTTGGGGATGTGGTGATTTTCACCACATTGAAAGACACTCTCCCTCTGGGACTAATTCTATCAACATCTCTCATGAGACAGCCTTTTGAGACCAACATTATTTGCTCTCCTTTTTTGCATCCTTTGATGAAAGTATCTGCACTGGTTATTAATTCTACTATAAGTATTGCAAGGATACAAGTCCTAATGGTCAAATCCCACAGTTTTCTGAAAGAAACTAATTCCAAATATACTCAAATTCCATCTTAAAACTTACCTTCACCTTTCATTTATATTAGGAAAATTCAGTAACTTCTTTTTCTCTCCCCACTCTCTTACTATGAAGATGTTACACTGGACAGCACAATGCATCAAATCTGTTACAGGTAAAACCATGCACCTAAGCTGGTTCTAAATGTGACAAAAATTTTAGAAGATTAATTTTCCTGTGACTTTGAGGGAGGATTTGGATTATCTAAGAAATCATTCAGACTAAAAGAAAGATATTGCCAGTAGCCACCTACAACATTAAGATGCATATACACAGCCCACTGAATGAGACAAAAAGGGTTGCTTGCTAGCATTGGCAAATTTCATATCGAGTTATTGATACACATATTGATAATGCTCACGTTCTCCTTCTACCTCTAACTTCTCTAAGAAGATTTGGAATTTTTACCTGTGAGGAACTCAGATTAGAAGATGCTCTCTACTTAATTTATAACCCATACTCTTGATAATAAGAATGTCCTCTAAAGGTACTAGTAGGGCTAAAAAAGTTTCTATTTTAAATGGCAAATGCATATCCATGGCATAGAACTGCATAAACTCAGACAACATATCACAAAGAAGCTTCAGGTACTGAAGCAATTTTTTTCATTAAGATCAGTAGATGTTGTATAACATTCTTTTATACATCACTGTTCTGAGCTCTGTGAACAGCGATTTGTTTCAAGACACCACCAACACAATACACTGCTTAAACCTGAGCAGCAATCTATTGAAAAGAAAAAGAAGTCACCTTTATCATAAGCATATAAGCAATCATATTATGCAGCAGTGTAGCCAACAAGCGGTCCTCATCATCTTCCAAACGCTTTCGATCATGTTCTCCCAGGGAAAGATACCTGCAAGAAGAGCTAGATGTGAAGCAGACTTCACACAGGCATTCTTCATCCAATTCATTAAAGCACTGGCAGAGGACAGAGCACTATTTGTAAAGTGTATGGCAAATAAAACCTCCAAAAACACTAAGCCAAATGGCCATTTTCCAGTAAAACACTGTGATCACTAATTAAACATTTCTAGTAATTATTAAGCAGTTGAAGTAAATAACATCTGCTTAGTGGGAAAGTTCTCAGTGGTCTGCTGGGCTTATTCATTTCCTCTTTTCTGCAGTTGCATCTCCATGACAATGACAACTGCCAGAAGAGGAACATACAACTCAGTACAAGAGCAACCTGCCTTTAGAGCTTAAATGTAGCTGCAAGGCAGAAGGAAACTGATGAAGAAAGTGTAAAGGTAATTTATTTTTTCTATTAAGTAGCTTGTCAAAAAATAAACACTTTTCAAACTAGCACTCCACAAACTAGTTCTTATTTTGGCTACCAGATCCCATGTTGCATGGGTGTAGGTGGTACAGCTGCAGGTGGCAGACAGAGCAGAGAATGATCAGATACTAACAGAGATGAGGGGAAAAAAAAAAAAAAGCAGGTCTAGCTTGAAGCAACCATGTGGATATTTCTAGCCAGTGTTTTTTTGTTTGTTTCTTTTAACTACAAGCTGTAAAGTAAAAACACCTCTAAGTGACTTCGCATTTAGAGAAGGCTCAAAATGCAGTTTCTGGAGACACTTAATTCTTTCAGTTTATGTCAACACACTGATATCTTCCTTATATTCCAGAATATAGGCATCTTGCCACAGCAATCTCTTGCTTTACTACTGATCTAGTCTATTCCATCTGTTCATACTGCGATTATGCTTACATTACCCATTTCTCTGTAAATATCACCTCTCCACAAGAGTTTAAAAAAATCTATGTCACAACTGAAGACAGTATTTCAGTATCAGGAGATACTGGTCAGCAAAGACAAAAGCCTCACCTTGGAACAGTTAGGTATAGTAACAAGGTGTACAAAGTGAAAACAGCATGTTCAGCAGAATTAAAATAAAGGTTTGGGGTTTTGGTTTTTTTTTTTTTTTCCCCTATTTCAGTCCGAGGTGGAACAATTGGGAAGAAATAGGTCTACTAAAGAACTTTACCTGTCAATCATCTCCTGAGGTCCCTGGTCCATCCCCATTCCTTCTCTCTCTAACATCACAGCATCCAAAAAAGCATCTTCCCAGAACTGCATCTGGTCCCACAAAGTTGAACGCTCTTTGCCTGTGCGATGTATACAAAAATTGCACATCTATTCAATTTACTCCAGACAAATATTTTTAAGATTAATTCCTGTACCTTCCCACTCCTTGAAAATACCATAAGCTAACACACGATTAATCCATATTAAAAAAAAAGGTTCCTTTTAAACCACAAGCAATATCACAACTGAAGAAAAGTGTAAAAGAGAAGACAAGACACATCCCTCATTCTAATTCATGGCATAATCTTTTCAAACCCTTACACAAAAATACTTCTCACCTCTATTCTAAAGGACTATATCTTCCATACACTGTTAACACTGCCCAAAAGAGACAGGAATATTTCACACAAACATAGATCATGGCAAACACACAGAGAAGTGGAAAGATAAGATTATTACTCATAGAGAAGGTTTCCATTGCAGCATCCTCTAACTGGTCCCAGACAGATCCTTTATCCCTACCTGCACCATTCCAGGCAGGCAGGAACGATAAATGGAAAGGATGAAAAACACAGGAAGAGAGAGCTCTTGATTAACAGCAAGTCCAGATGAAATACATTTCAAAAAAGCCACTATACTCATAATTCAAGGATACACTCGAAGGCCATTAGTATTCCGAGTTTAGTAGCCCTCTGTTCAATGACTTAAGCTGCAGGATCTTTTTTCAAGATCATTAATACATTTTAGCCTTCCATGCATAGCTAAGTAAGTTCCTTCTCCCCTTTTTCCATTAGTTAAAGAATTCCTATTCAAGAACAGCAAGAGACTGGGACAAAGTATGTTTTATGGAAACTAAACCACTCACATTCATCTCCTCTTATTCAATCCCCCCAGTAAATCTTGGGTTTTACTCTGAATGGCCTTATACACCCTCCTATTCTACCAGTATGGACAACACTAAGTGGTTTAAAAAAGTCTGTTTACCTAAAAGTCCTTCATAGAGATAGACACGTTGGTTCCCATCCTCTGGGCCTCTCCCTGGAGTGCTGCCTTTGCTATCCTTCACACTCTGCTTCACGTTGTGAGACTTTGCCTGAAAATAATACAAGAGGTGTCAAGACAATTTAACTCTGCACTCTGCAGGGCTGTTTCTTGCAGTCCACTGTTGTGCTTAACAGACACAGTTTGCAAGCTCTACTTCATAGATGCTTCTCCCACAGATGTTCACAAAACAAATGAAGTATTCTGTTCAAAGAGCAAGGTAATAACTTAAAAGTCAGACAAAGGAAAAACAAAGAGAGACAGATACGAGAAATCAAAACAAGGAGGAAACATAATGATTCCTAAAGGAAAAATCAAAAAATGCAAATCCCAGACTAAAAACAACAGTTAAACCTCTTCTGTCATCCCCCGTATTTCATGCTTATGCAGTAAGTTTGCAGAAATTCTAACAGTAAATCCTTCCCTCTGTTCAGGAAACAGCTGAATAGCACTGTCATTGTATTCTGTGCTGGAATGGAGGAAGAAATACGCAGCCTTCTCAGGACTACACAGAAAATCAATATTTACAAACAGAGTAAGATTACTTGAGCTCTCACATTCAGACCTGACAGGTTTTTCTTTCATTTACTATTCATAAAGGTAGGGTGTTAAGCAAAGCATTACATATCATCTGGTCTGAAGAATGGTGTACTGGGACTACC